TGCTGAGCCCAGACGAGATGACACATCCCTTAGTCAGGAGCTGGTTAACATCTGAGGGGAACTCTACTGTGAGCAAAGACGGTACAAAAGAGGCCATGTCCAACCATGGGCTCACCAGCTTTATGCCAGAGGAGGGACATGATTCTCTGAACCTTCCTCAGAGAAATGGAGGGAGGTTGTACCATAAAAATTGCCACCTTGTGTGGAAGAGGACAGCATGGCCTGGTTAAGGACATTGCTGTAACACCTGTATGCAGCTTTGGATATTGCCCCGTTGCTTTGGCTCTGTCCCTTGGAGCATTTCAGCTCTGTGATGAGCTGCATGCCACCAAGCAAGCAGCAAGGGAGGTTTCTTACCAAACTGGAGGTTATTCCTGGGAAACTCCCATTTCTCATTGTACGGCAGCTGAGTGGGATCGATAAAGATGTAGTTATTCCCTTCGCAGGCTTCAATGATCTTCCACCGCACCTGGTACTTGGGTTTCTGTAAGGAAGAGACTCTAGTTACTCAATGTTCCTCAAGTCCCAAGGGTTCCCCAGCCCCAGCATGCAGTCTAGCTCTCACCCTGCAGGCATAGAGGGAAGACAGGCTTCTTGCTTTGAACCTGGACTCAGTGAGAGAGCATCTTCCTGGACAGCCCGGTCCCTTTGCTATTAAAAAGTCCCTCCAAGTCATGACCCATGACTGCAGGAGGCTCTCTTGACTCTTTCACTTAATGTAGCCTTTTGCCCTCACTTGGGATGGCAGAGCTGGGAGACCCAGCATGTTCCACCAGGCTGGTGTCTGACAGCACCCAGCTGACACTGGAGGGAGATGTCCTCACTGTGTCTCCTTCCTTGGTACCCTGTGCTGCTGAGCGCAGCAGAACAGTGGAGCTGGCCCAGCCCCACTTTCCTCACAGGGGAAAAAAAGAAATGGAGAAAGAGAAGTAAGAATTTCTTCTCTTTCCCATGAATCTCACATCAGAAGTAACCCAGCAAGGCAGAGAGAAGCGAGGCTGGAGCCCGTGAGCAGAGGCAGTTGCCAGCTTGTGCTGGGGGTTGTCATTCGTGTTGAAAGGGCTTGTGAACCAGTCTGGAGCACAAATACAGACAGTGAGATAGCTTGACATGAGAATACTGTGTATGACCTTTGCTCCTGTCCAAGGAGACAAGCAAGGACCTGCACCCCAGTGTGGTAAAGGCAGCCTCAGATCCATCAAGGCAGACACAGGATGGAGTGACCACGGCTGTGATGAATTGCCTCATGTCCCAGCTACCAGGAGGTGTGTGCTGGAATGCTTCTCACCGCTTCCCCTGCATAGCTGCAGAGAAGGATGCAGTGTATGAGCACATGCTCAAAGCTGGGTTAGCACAGGCATGAGGCACCATAACTGAATCAAACAGATCTGCAGTTTTGATGCAAAGCATCTGTTTGTTTTCTCCCCCACATTCCTTCTTTTTTCATTGCCTGAGAGCTGAACATCCTCGCCCATGCAGGCTGCTGAAAAAGGCTCAGACAGGATGCTCCAAGCAGCACAGTTTCTGGTGGATATCCCTTATAAAAGACGCCACATGCACTCAGTGTATTTGCTGTTGTCTGCTCCCAGAGGGTGGGCATTGCTGTTTTCTGCTTCACAATTCACCTAGAGCACTGCAGCAATCAGCCATGGCTCAACAAGCCCATGGCTTGAGATAGGCAAGGTTATTTATAAACACGTCCTGCTTCTCTTGGGCTTGCAAGACCTTCCTAAAAGCTATTTCTTAGAGCTGTACTTGCACATCAATCCACGCTTCATCTCTCTGGACTACTGGCCAAATACAGCTCTGCCTGCAAAGCTGTAGGTGTTTGGGAGAGGGCTCTGTTGGATATTCTGACAACCAGCACCAGAACTTTGCTGTGAAATCTGCAGCCTCGATAGGCTGTCAAAGGAAGAGTGCCAAAAGGAAGAGCTGAGAACCAGGAGATTGTCACCCACTGATAGAGCAGAGGTGGCTGATGACTGGTACAGTTTATGGAAACAACCAAGATGAAGAATCCAAATGCTGAAAATGAGTCTTGCAGACAAAATGGGGCAGGTTCTTGTGTAAAAATAGTGACCAAGTCTTCCTGGAGACAAACGCCTTCTAACATCATCTTGTTCCCGCATAAAGACAATGTTGCATAAAGCAGGGATGAGAATAAAAAGTAGATGCAAGCTGCAAACCACTTTTTCCCCTCTGTAATTCAGCCTGTGGATTCAGGTGACCAGAGCAAACTGACAGCACAGAATAAGCATCTTTGACAGCAAGAAACAGCCACATTGACCTCTGGGCTGAGGTACCAGGGTGGGAGATATGTGAACACACCGAGTGTGGTGCAGGAGCCTTGCCCTGCTGCAGAAAACTCCTGGGGGAGGTTGGAAGGCAATGGAGATGAAGGAGGTTGGTTGCCTGGTGCCTCCATCCAGGCTGAATGCTCCCTGCCTGTGGCTGCCAGCAGAGGCTGGGCAGCCCTTGCTAAACAACAGAGAATCTGACCTGGTGGTACTTGTAGAGGAGGAAGAGCAGTAGGAGGAGCAGCAGGACTGATGTGCCAATGCAGGTGGAGAGAATGGGGCTGAAGAGCTTATTTGGGGGGGCCATGACGCTTCCTGGAGGAGAAGAACACAGGAATGAGTAAAACACTCTTATTTCAGTCCTTCTGCCCAGCTGATCACTTAAGCTTCCCCTGTATGCAACACAACCAAGCACTGGCCTCAGAGACACCCAAAAATGCTGCTGGGAACTAAGAGAGGTTCTTGATGCCAAACTTAAAGCTGCAATGGCTCCCCCCATGCACCCAATTTCCACACAAACAGCACCAGGAACTGGTCAGACTGAGTGAGAACCAAGATTGGTGCAGCAAGAACAGTCCCATCAAAAGATGCAACCCCTGGACTCCAGTGGGCTGAGCAACAGCTTCTGCACTCTGGAGCTGGGTCCTGCAGTTATAAGGTGTGTATGCCCAGCCAGCAATTCCCACATGGCTCCCAGGACTGACAAATGCCAAAGCCTCCCCTCTCCTGGGAGGATAGAGGGCTTGTGGAACCTATTCCACTTCTCATGCAAGACAATAGGAATGTATGTATAGGAAGATAGGTCCTCAAAAGCCCCCAAATCCTTCCCCACTCTGCCAAGCTACCAGTTTGTATCTTACTGGTGACGGTGAGTGAGTGAAACATGTCAGAAGCGTTCCCCTCTCTGTTAATGGCCATACAGCAGAAGGTGAAGTTGGCACCCAGCTCCTGGAAGGGGATGATGCTCTCCACTTCCACCTCTCGGAAAGGCAACACATTCACCACCTGGGGACTGGAGTCGTTCAGTAGCAGCCTATAGTCCTCACTGTATCTGCAGAGATACCAAGCGGGAGAGAATGAGTGTTCCTCTGCAGCGCAGTTGCTCCTAAGTGAAATGGTGCCTGTATCAGACTAGAGAGGAGACACAGGGAATTAACGTTTGCAGCTCTATGAGACATTACTCTGCCCAGTTAAAGATCTGTTCCTGAACATCAAAGCTCTGTATAGACAGAGCCTTAACTGCCTTTATGTGGCTACAGCTGTGTTCTGGCAGCACTTCCTTCCTTGAATGGGTGTGAGACACAGCAACCCCCATCCAGGCAGCTGCTGTTGCCTCCATCACACTGTAGCTCAGTAAACCTGTGCTCTGTGGAGCCTCAAACCTGTGGAGGCCTCAGAAAGATGAGTGTGACCAGCCAGGATGTAGCTCTGTGGCAACACAGACCAGGGCACTTCTCCAAGGGATCCACAAGTTCCTCAGAAAAGCATTGGGAGAATATGAATCACAGGTGGTTGAACTTGTGAAGGTCAGGACTTCATAGGAATAGTGCCTGCCTCTCTCCTCAGACAGTCCTCAGGAACCTCTTTCTTTAGCAGGGCAACATCCCTGTTGCTGTTACGGAACAGGCTCTGCTGTAAGGAAGCCTACATGGTGGTGCTCAGAGAATGCCAGCATAGCAAGAGAAAGTGTATGCCCTGGAGATGCTCGGTCTCCTGGGCATTTCTTACCTGTCAGAGTGAATGGGGCACTGGTACCACTCGATGCGTGGGGCAGGGTAGCTGATGGCCATGCACTGAAGGATGCTGGAGTCATTGGCTGCCACTCTGATTTTGCAGAACCTTGGAGGAGCTGTTGGGAAGGCACATAAACAGTGAATGCTATGACCAGAGGAAGAGCACGTTCTCTGTGCTCTGATTTACTTTCCATGCGTGCAGCTATAAAACACCAGGAAGCCCTGTGCTATGTGTAGGTTTGGGCTGTGTGTCCTGTGGGCACTGGGCTGCAAGCACCCTGGTAGTGCATCCTACTTGCTGCCAGCTGGGCAGCAGCCCCAGCGCAAGCAGAATGAAAGAAGAGCAATGCCAAGCACTTACATTTCACAGATATACTGAAGGTAACTGATGCATTGGTCTCATTATTGATGGCATAAAATGTGTAGAGACCTCCCTCTCCTTCCTGCAGGCGGTTCAGGAAGAGCGTGTTGTTATACCTGCTCACACAGAGAGTAAACACCATGAAGAAGGCTGTGCTGATGAAACCGAGGCACTCACACAGTCTTTGCTCGGTGAGATGTTGCTGCTTCCCATGCCCTGGAGTGGGTGAATGCTTCCCAGCACTGATCCCAGCCCTTGCTAGCCGATTCTGCGGGGGAAGCAGGAAAGGTCTGATCTTCCTTAGAGGAAAGACCTTTTGCCACCAAGTGCACAGAACTTCTGAAAGGCTGCGGGTGGGTGAATGCTGAGAAAGAAGAGTTTAACACCTAAATCATCACCTTTGAAGGCCCAGAGGATGCTAGTCCTCCTGCCTTTGACGGAATGAGTTATTCCATTTCTTAGCCCACCAAGTCATGGTCCCCAGTCCCCACTCCATTCTGCCCCAGCCCATTTCTCAGACCCCAAAGCAAGAAATGGTTTGCCCTAAAGCCATCATGCTTGTTGAGTGGCACAGTTCCTCTTGTGGATTATTTTGATTTTCTAAGAAAATGAAAGGGGAATTATTCCCTTTCTTTCGGCCGCCTTTTGGCCTCAGTTGGCTGGAGGCTTTGGAAGAGCAGGCCTGTGCCCTCCATTAGGTATATGGGTCTGTGGCTCCTCTTGACATGGGTGTACAGTGCCGGTGGATACATACACTGTCCAGACCTCAGAGCATGGGACAGGTCTGAGGAGCAGCAAGGGCTGCAGTGTTTTGTAATGTTCATTCACCCCTGCAGTTTCTTCCTGCAAGGAGAGCATGAATTTGAACAACCAGACCACAAATGTGATCTGATTTCCATAAGGTTTTCTGAAGAGAAGGCCACCAAGTTAGATAGAGGTGCGTCCTCCTTGACCTGATCAGACCTGCTCGCTGTGGTTTGCTAATAATATTGGAAAGAGAAGACAGAGAGGCAGAACAGTTCCCCTCCTTAAAACCAGAGTGTTCTGTCAGCTAGTACATGGGGTCTGCCTGTCTCACAAGAAAAGTGTTGTTGGAAACATGCCATGGTCAGTGTATAAGCCAGAAGGCACATACCAGTTGTTTCCAGGGATCATCTGGCCTTGGAATGTGGTGCTCTCAGTGTTCTTCAAGGGGTTTGTGTGCTCCCAGCGCCAGTAGAGAAGTTTTGGGTAAGCCGCAATCTGGACCTGCAGCATCAGACTCTCTCCCAAAGCAACCTCCTGGCTGGTGGCTTGCAGTGGGGTGAGGAACACGTAACCTCTCTCTGCAGGATGGAAGAGAGCGTTGCCATCAGCAGGCATGTCCAGAGACCTGAAATAAGCTCATACCAGCTTCATAAATGGACCATTATTGGAAAGGGCAGCTTCAGCAGGGAGACTGCAGGGGGAATGAGGCATTACACAGACCACATCGCTAGAGGAGTACTTGTAAGTTGCTGCTTTGTGATGGCAGCTTGGATTACACTCTGCCTGAGGAGAGGTAGGAAATCTTAATGAATGGGGAAAGAGGTTTTACATGCCTTATCCTAGTAAGTGATGAGGCTAAAACTATCTCCTGACCATCTGTAGAAGCTAAACTCCTGGCTTCTCACTTGGAAGCAGACCAAACACTTTCTAAGCCATGGTATGCAGTGGCTTTGGGTCATCAGCAAACTTAAGCCTGTGAGCAAGGATGAGTTTTCCATCTTGAAGTATATATATATACAAGTGTATAATATACCTGAATCCTCTTATGTGGATCTGTTACTGAAAGAGACAAAGATCCATACTCTGCCCACGTGGCTTGTCCTTCCTTCTAGCCAGACTTTCCTGGTCTTCAGCATTACCTTGCCCCATTCTTTTTGTTTTAAAGATCTTTATAAACACACAGAAACTGAGCAAAGTTTCAGATCTGTCACCCAGAATCCAAAAAAATATCCTCCTGGCCCTCCAGTTATGAAAGGAACACCAGCTCTTTTCCCAGTAACTCCACAGTTCTCAGGCACAAGCAAGAATGATGTTTCCAACAACAAAACATGATGGAGGAGAATGAGCAAATACTCAAGGCACTCACCTACTACCTGTATTCCTGACCCCTGCTGAATTGTTAGCTATGCACGTGTACTTCCCACTGTCTTCCATGGTCACCGCTGAAACGGACAGGACATCACTGATGAAGTAGTTCTCATTCTCAAAGCTACGATTCTGAACTGTCGAGACCTGTCAGGCAGGGAGGGAACATCAGGCACTTTCTTGGAGGGACAGAGGATGGAACTGAATATTTATGACCCACCCCATCTTGTTCTGGGCTACTGAGCTTTGTTATGGAGCCTCTGCCAGTGAAAGTCGTCTGGGTGGAGACCAAGAGGCATATTAAACTGAAGTATTCGGGGCAGATATTCCACAGCAGTTAGGGTTATAATAGCTGTTGCCAGCCTTTCGACTGCAGGCTGGCCTTACATTGTGTGATCCAAACCTACCTTGTATGTTATTTCAACTCCTTAATAAAGACATCGGATGTCTTTATCAGGACAGGAATTATATCTATGCCTTGTCATAGAAATAATAAGGACTTCTAGCAAACCTCCTCTAACCATCTAGCAGTTAAAAGTCAGCATCACAGATATTCTGGACTGCATTCCCTTTCATCACCCATATTTTTCCTATGGGGAATTGTGTCCCCTGAACATGTTTGTTACTTCGTAAGCCCTGGAAGTGCTGGCTGGAGAAATGTCACCTTAGTAGGTAGTGTGGCTCCTGCTCAATGAACTCACCTGAAACAATACACGTTCCTTCTCTCTAGCAGCAAGATCCTGACAAAAAACAATGGGCAGGAATTTCCTAACCTTGTGTCATCCCAAGGAAAGGATGACACATTCATATTCATTTTTCTACAGCTTGTTTGAATAGCTGCTTTGGCTGGGCAGCTCAAAAATGCTGCAGGTGACTTGGGTCTGAGTAGTTCTTACATCTCCCAGTCTCCAGGAAAGCCCTAAACCCCTGTGAAGCTCCACAACTTACGTTCTTTGCTGCTGTCACCCATCTGACGTCATACTTGTGGGAAGGAGCAGTTATTCTGCAAGTGACTCTGAAAGGTTCACCCACGATTCGCACGTGGTCTATAGGGTCCATCATCACCGATACAGGCTTCTCCAGAGCTACACAAAGGCAAGCAGAAGGAGATTCAACATCAGCTGGTCCAAAGACCCCGAGTGCTTTTGAGACTCCCTAGGGCCCGGCTACTTTTTCCTTTCCATCCTCTTCAGTCTCTTTACCCCCGGCCTTCTCCTTCCCTGGCAATCATTAGCCCTCTAGTGCATGTATCTATGAGGAGCACTGCAGGTAGGGGAGAGCACAGCAGTCAGCATTGTGGGTTGAAAGGGAAGAGGAACCTTCTGACATAAGTATGTCCTCAGCATCAGGACCTGAGGACTTGCAGAACATCAGGGAGAGAGGTGGACTTTTTAATCTGTTCTGTGATAACACCTGCAAAGATTTGAACACTGCTGAGTGAGACCCACCTGAAGGAGCCAATTTGCCAGGAGCTGATGGAATTTTGCCTTCATTAAATACCCTTTAAAGTCTGCAGGTTCAGAAGGTCTTTCCTGCCGCTGGCTTGGAGCTTTTCCTTAACTATCTACTGTGGCCAGCTTAGCTAATGCTGTCTCCCTGAGGACACCAGCAAGCCTTTACCTTCTTCCACAAGCAGTCTAATTCTTGATGACTTCTCAACTTTTCCATTTATCACTGCTTGGCATCTGTAAAAGCCCTTCTGCTTGCTTTGCACGTTGTACAGTGTCATTCCTTTCTCGGTGCTGAAAGAATAGTTGGTCCCGGGTGGGAGATGGGAGCCACCATCCGCTACCAGAGTCACACTGGATCCATACTCGGGGGCCGTGATGAGACAGGGCAGCTCAGCATTACCACCCCTGGTCACACCGACCCGGAAAGTCGGTGTGTACCACACATTATTGGGATCTGTGAAGGAGGCAAGGTAGGCCAGGGAATGGGATCAGAAAACACATCAGAAACACATTCCAGCAAAGGCAAGTCTCCAGCACTGCTGCCCAGTGGGAGTTCGATGCTGGGGCAGCCCTGCTCAATGCCTGCCTGACTCAGCCTCCAAAAACTCACACGACAAGCCCAATTTCAGCTAAGGCATTTCAGGAGAGCACAGCAATCAACTCACAAATGTACACAGGCAAGAGAGCCTGAGGAGTATGCTTACCTCCAACTAAACTCTTTACCATGGTGTTAGTTTTAGTTATCAGACCTACAGTTTCCCTGCCCAGGACAGTATCTCTGGTACAAGGGAAGAGGTCAGCTCAAGTGATGGAGCTACCACAGCACAACTTCTTCTGGGGTAAAAGAATATTTAGATTTCAGGTCATGTTGTAAGGATGTGATTCATGCGATAACCTCTCTTATCTGGGGTACTGGCAACAAGGTTCTCCGATTTCCAGATCTCACCAAAGATCTGGTTAGATTACAACACCAAACAGACTTTCATCCCTGGTTTTTCAGGAACGGAAGCCAAGCTAAATAGAGGGAGAAGTCCAGGGCATTCCCACACCTGCATGAAACGCAGCTCTGTACTCTGCCCCAGTGCTTCAGCCCCAGGCCCCATTTTATGTGGGTTTACGTGGTGGTGGATGAGCCATTGCCCCACAAGGAGCCTGCACTGGTCCCCAAACATGCACACAACCACAGCCATAGAAGGGACCTTTGTAATGGCCATGAACTCTGGAAGGAGGCTCTTCTGCAAGCAAGGGTGTGAATAGGGAAACATGGTTACCTCGCACGAACAGATGCACAGTTGCAATGCCCTTGTTGCTGCTGTTGGCATAAACACACACGTAGGTGCCTGTATCCCTGTAAGTGGTCTTGGGAATACTGAGCGTGCTGCTGGTGTGGTTGCTGAATACATCCTTTTTGGTTTGCCATTCAACTTTGGACTTCCCTGAGCAGCGCAAGGTGACCGGATCACCCGCGCTGACAACCAGAGCAGGGGCGTCAGGACTGATCACCGGGGATGCTGAGCCTAAGAAGGAAAGAGAAAGAGTAAGGATGCGAAATGATCCCTAAAGGCGCTCTTCTGGAGTTCACACTACTGACTATGGAGAAGCTCAGCATCAGGAGGAGGCTGAGCTTGGGATTCAGACTGGCTGTCATCACTTCATTCTGTATCCACTAGACACATACAGCCTGATACTCCAAGGAATGAATTCCAGGGAAGACAGGAACCCCCACATATGGACATTTTGAGTACTGGGTTGAGAAAAACAATCATCTGGAGCTGATAAGGTCTGATGCTAGCTTGCAAATTTTTTCTGTTGGGTTTTTCCACTTAGAACAGTTTTCCTTTTGTGTCAGAGCTGGAGCTACTATATGAACTTGGTTAGGCCATAGCACCATTTAAGTCAAGTCTGTGGAGGAACTGGGCTTTCTTGCTTGGGTGCTGTGATGAGCTCAAACAGACCTGGAAAGCTTCTGCAGAGCAGGTCATCAGTGTATACCATTGCACTGGCTTTTTAGTTGCCAGGTACTGGATTTTGAAGACATCTGCTTATGCCTTATCATAGAGCCACACAGTGCATTCTCCTCCCAGATTCTACCAAAACATTATGAAGTGAGTCAGCATTATTATTATCATACTTGGAGGTGGGAAACTGAGGCACAGGAAAGTTAAACAGCTCATGAAAGCCCACAGCTGCAGCTGTAGATACAGCACCCCAGGCCAAGCTGACACTGGCATCGCAGCCCAGCTGGGTTTCCGATGCCATCTCTGCATTGAAGATGGCTTCTCTGCTGGCTGGATAAAGGGGAACCAGGGTCCCACTTTAAACCTCAATGTCCCCCTGTTTTGCCGTGTCAGCGAGTTCTTTGAGTCACCACCTATATTTAGGGTGGGGGGAAGTGAGAAATGAATCAGTGCCGCGGGGCTGGGGAAGAAGCGGTACTGCCACCCCCATGGCAGGCCTTCGGGAGGACAGGAAACACATTGCAAAGGGCTATCTGTGCTCGAGGGGCTCTGCACCCCCCTCCAGCCCCTATCCAGGGCTATCCTCCCACTTCTGCTTTCCTTCCCAGTCGTTAATGCATCCGCACAGCTTAAAGGGACACACACCGAGGTTCAAGTAATACCAAGTATAAAGGTAGCTGCCCAGTTTATCAAGCCGATGCTCTTTGTAGAGGATGTTACTGCAGGTGGTGCTCCTCTGGGGAGGTGGCAGCAGAAACAGGGGCTGGGTTTTGTCTTGTGATGCCTTGAACTCTGTAGAAGACTGCTCTGGACCCATAGGAGCTCTTAAGTTGAATGATCTGAAGTCTAAATGAACATTAAAACCCTAACTCATCAGGAGGTGGGAGAGGGCAAAGCACCCTATAATGGCACCATTAATCCAGCTGCACTCATATATGCTCCTTCAATAGAAAAGGGAGTAGTAGTCAGATGTTACAGTCCTTGTTGCAGGGAGAAGAGAAGGCTGCTTATGGCAATGGGTAGCAAAGACAGTTCAAAGCGAATCCGTTCTCAGGTGCTGTCTTAGATACTGTCCCTGTTACACACCAGCAGAAGCAGCATCCACCCCTGCTTAAAGCTCATGTGGTGAGCAACACTTTGTCCAAGGTATAAATGTGTCCTGTGTTTCCAGCTGTGCTCAGAGCTGTAACACCAGACCCCATCCATCAGAACTCAAAAGCATCATTTAAGCAGTCTTGGATGGGTGCCTCCCTCCATTCAACAAGAGGCTGAGAACATGAGACTCAAGGCTCTGGAGAGAGTTTCTGGTGCGTGACAATGATATAGTTGCCCAGGGGAAACCCAGACAAGGCCTGGATCAAATTGACTGGCCCTGTGGGAAGCAGCAGAGGACATGGAGCTTCAGAGCATGGAATATTTGACATTTTATCTCTGTTGGGGTTTTGTGTGTGATGTTTTTATCTTTCTGTGGAAAGAGGAAAAGCCTCATTTATTCCCAAAGTGGAGAAGAACATATCCCAGCATCCTTTGCAAAACCACATTTTCCACATAGATGGAGTACAATATTCCTCCCTTTCTGCTAAGCTGCATTTTCTAGCAGGGCTTGACACATCTCTGCTGCTTTAACTCTGGCACTTCCCTCACCTACTCTGCTTTAGCTATCCCTCCACATCCAAGGCTTCAGCATCATTTCATGGGGTACACAAGCTCTTTGGCTCAGAGCTGCATTCAAACTGGTCCAGGGAGGAGAGACCATGTTCTAATTGTTCCTTCGTGTGGCCACACCAGGACAACAGGAAAAAAACCAAGAGTCACATCACTCTGCATCCTTGTTGTCATCATCCTCCACTGAGACACTGCAGCCAGAAAAGGGTCAGAGTAGGTGTTCTCCGTAACTGTGAAGAATCCAGCAGCCTTCAGGCTGTCACTGGGGACTGCTGTCAATAGCACAACCACCACACAAGTGGAGGACAGGCAGAGCGGAGACATTAAATGCAGGTAAAGGCCACCCAAGCATCCACTCCTTTGTGTGAGCTGGGGGATAAGCCAGACCAGCAGGTCCTTTTCCAGAATGGGGAAGCAGTGCTGCTGGGCAGGCTCTCTCCCTGCTGACCACTGTGCAATCTTGCATGAAGCCCAAGGATGTCTCTCTGCTGCTCTCCAGCAGCTTCCGCAGCATTGCCAGGAACTGCTGGCCAATGGTTTTACCACACTTGGGTTGTGTAACTGTGACCTCTAATTACAGCTGCAGGCTCCATCCCTGCCTCTCCAATGCCAGCCAAAACATTACTTTCCTCTGCTGAGGGTTTGGAAATGGTGAAGAAGAGAAGGCTGGTAACAGAGATGCTCAAGAGCCTTATCACAGAAGCCAAGAAGCCAGTCATCTGGACCTTGACTTGACCTAGGGGATAACTGAGCTAAGGCCTGGCCCTGGGAGGGACCCATACCAGGCATGAGCTCTCCTTGCTCCCCCCGCTCAATGATAGCAAGTCAAAGCTTGGTTTGAGGTCACCTTCCCTAGAATTGCCTACACTGTCTGTGAGGCAGGGCATAGGGAAAAGGGTGCTCATCACGTGTGCTTGGGGTTTCTACCTCGGAAGTTTAAATCTCCCACAATAAGAAAACAAAAGAAGCCCCAGGAAGGCCTCTCAAGATGGCCAAACCCACAGATGTGAGCTGATTGGGTTTCAAACCTGTCTTCTGCTTGATCTGATTAAACCTTGACAATCTGAATCTGGTATTTGAGCCCCTGACACTCCCCTCAGCAAAAGCCCACTGGTATGATAGGTGGTCACACCATGACATATACCACATCAGCCCTGGTACTCTCAGAAGATGCACTTGCAATCCAAGAGCAGAAGGAAGCCAGGCTCTGACTCCAGCTTGAGGCTGTTGCTTTGGACAACCCTGGCACAATGCAGTTTTGTGCTGCAGGTGGCCAACAGTGCTGGTACTCAGACAAATGTGTGTCTAACACCCTTACCAGGCACTGCCTGCCATGTCAGGGTGTCACATGAACGTAAGACATTATAAACCCTGAAGCCTCCATAACCCAGTTCCCAGCAGAGCAGACCTGGAAAAAGACAAACTCAGCATGTCAAAGACATGACTCGAAGTGAAAAACCATTCAGTGCAACAGGAAGTGGGATGCAAACATCCTGGGCTGAAAATACAAACAGTGAAGTGCCTCAAGGATAAGCTCCCCCCCCAGACTGCCCCCTTCCAAGGGGATCTCACACCAAAGTCTCATTGTCCCCCCAAGCAAGCTCAAGGGGAAAGAGCCACACAAGGTTTGAAAGGCTGCCAGCACTTAAGATGTAAGATTAGTAATACTGGTTTGTCAGTTTGGTTGGAAACCTCAGAACAGGCTTAGTGACTCTTTCTTGAGGTTGATGGGTTACTGCCTCTTGGCAATCTCCGCAGCCTCAAAACCCAGGCAGATTCACCTTTCCCTTTTTGGCTGCCCAAGTTCTGTTTCCATCACTCCACAGCCCTGCTGTGTATGCCAGCACCACCAGAAAACAGCAGTCCTCACACATCTCCAACTGGGCACAAAGTGCATCCCAAGGTGCCGGTGCAGACAGCTTCCAACTCTTCCACCTGCAGGCCAAGCATCTCCAGCTCTTGCCCCATTTGGACAAAGGGTTATTCAGAGAGAGGTCCCCTCAGGACACACGTTCTGCTGACCCTCTCCTTCCTCCTAACCCCTGCTCAGACTCAAACAGTGGGAAGATTCCCTCCCCCTTCTCCCTATCACCAAGGCTCTTCCTATGCTACATGCGCCTTTCCATACCCCTTGGTCTTACCCTGGCAGTCCTGCAGACAGCCATAAGCCAGCCCTCAACACAGCTGGGCTTCAGAGCCAACACAGACTAGCAACACACCCTCCTTCCACCACTGCCCTCCCTCTACAGTGACAATAAGCCAGCCCTGGATGACTTTCAGAAAGCTGCTACAGCCCAGTCTGCACTAAATGCCAAGCTGGTGTCTCTCCATGTGATGCCACGGAGAAGACACATTCTCCTGCCTGCTCCCTACCCATGCCAAGGCTCCTTGAGCTTGCTCACAGCAGCAGTGGCTGCTTCATGCAGCAGCCTCCAGAAGCAGAGATCACCCCAACCCACAGCAAGCTTTTGGGAGACACACTTGGGAGCCAAGCTTTGTGCCTGTTAGTCCAAGTTCAGCATTGCCCCGTCTCCAACCCCACAGAGGCTGTCACCCCTCCTCACCTGAGGATGGATGGAGCACCCACACCAGACACCTGCACCCCAAAACTGCCCTAGAGTGACATGGAAACAACAGAGGGCTTTGGGGTGCCAATGGACCTACCGCGCCAGATGCCAGCTGTGGTGACCAGCAGCAGGAGAGCAGGACCCATGTCCCCAGGGAGCACGGTGCCGCCAGCGCAGAGCAGGGATGCAGCTGGAGGATCCTCTCAAGCAGCGGCTCCGTCCCCAGTGGGAGCTTCTCCTTTCTGAGTGACCACAAGTGAAGAAATTCCCTTTTTTTGTTTGTTTTTGAAACAGGAGGGGGGAAAATACAAAACAAGCAGAGCTTTGGGACGTCACTGGGGACAAGCCCTGGGCAGAGGTGGGGCCAGGCACACACCCCATTGTGAGTCCCTTGCCACTGTTGGGGTCACTCTCTTGCCTCAAATTGGGGTTCAGCCCCAGATTGCTATCCAAGGGGCCGTAGCACCATGCCAGGGGTCAGGACAATCCCAATACTGCCACCCAAACCCCAGGGAGTTCTGTACTCTTCCCTTGGGACACAAAACCCTGTCTGGGAGCTGCTTTGATTGATAGACTCCATTTTACCTCAAGCCTCGTGGATCTTGCTGACTTCTGGTCCTGGGGACCCACACAAGAGCATGGCCATCACCCTCACAACAGGCCCACAGAGGTGGTGCACCCTGGAGCAGCTCCCTCTGAAGATGGTAACTTACCTTGTTTTGACCAAGAGCACAACCCCTGGTGCAGAGAAGGGGGCCTATGGCCACACAGGATCACCCCCAAATCTCACTCCAGCACCATGCAGAGGAAGGATCAAACCCAGCCAGTTGCAGGCTTGCCTTCACCACCCTCCCCAACCAAGAAACACATTGGATCCAGCCTGCAGACCCTTCTCTGTCCCCAGCAGGGCTCAACCAAGGACTGACCCTTCCCAGGAGCCCATCCCACCCATCGTACTGCCCAGCTGGTGGGGAGGCTTTTTAAAGCTGCTTTCTAATTAGGCACCTGGGAGCAGTAATGAGGCACTTTGTCAACCCTCCCCTGAGCCTCTTCCAAAGCAGTAGGCTTGAAGCAGAACAGTTGTCCTAGGGATGCTCAAGTCAGCAAGACATTAGCAGCTGGAGTCAGACCCAGCGTGTTCCGTGTTCTCCACTCTATCTCTTGATAACCCCACGCTGCAGCAGAAGTTCATGATGGTTCATGTTAGCTCTGGGGTGGGAAGTTAAAGCCACCACCTGACAGTGCTGGGAAGCACAGGGAGGAAGGTCCTGATGGAAGGCTCCTCTTAGCTGCAGACCCATCAGCAGGGATGTGACAGGGACACTGGCTGTAAAACATGGGCAGAAAGAGATGTGCTTATCCAGAATGACTGCACAGAGGTGGCTGTTTTGACCTTTTGCAATGCAAAGGTGCCAGGTAAAGAGGTGCCCCTCATGCCTCCACAAACTAGAGGGGAATGGGCTTCTCAAAGAGGGCAATTAGAGAGAGGTACCAGCAAGACAAGGTCTTGGGGCCAAGAGATGAGAGCACAGCTGACTGTGCTGGAGATGACTAAGAGTCATGCGAACATGGAGACAGCTCCTGGTTTTGGCCAGGATGGCTGGACAGCCAGAGCGAGTCCAGACAGGAGGAAAGGCAGCTCTTGGCCACGGAAGATTTCCTCTCAGCAGTTTTTCCTGGCAGGATGTGGGGAAGAGGAACATGAAGTGTGGTGTGCTGGGGGGCTCCTGCCCAGAGCTGGGGGGCTGTCGAGCGGTGGAGCTGCAGGAGATATCTGTCTGATGATTCTTTCCTCCTTTTGAGCCAAAGGGGCTTTTTAAAGGATGTCTGTTTCCCTCCTTCTTCTTCTTTAATTTTTTTTCCAGGAACACATGCCAGCTCAGAGAGAACTGACTCACCAGTGAGAACAAGCACTGAACCAGGCAGGTCTAATGCAGAGAAGGGAAACTGTCGCTCGGCCTCTCTTCTTCTCTTTGAGGAGGCTCCTTGCAGAGCATCTCTGGGGGCAGTGGTCCACAGGTGACAAGTCACAGCCTGTACACAGAGGTCCCCTCCAGCACACTGGAGATGCTGAGTGGGACGAGCTGTCTGCTGGGTTCCTCCATCACTGGTGGCCATCTCATCCTGCCTGCAGGTGCACCTCAAACCCTGTGGTTGCAAGCAGCAGCTCGGCTACAGGAGCACTGCTGGGGCTCGTGTGCTGTAGCTCTGAGCAAGGGGCAGGGATGCTCTCAGAGGAGCTGCAGCCTTGCTTTGAGTCACTTGAAGCCCAGGGATGTCCATGGAGGCTCTGATGGCCAGGAAAGGGTGATGGGAGATGGCATGAGACTTGCTCAGTGCCAGGCTGGCTCTGAAACCCTGTTTGGAAGCACTGGGAGCTCAGGCTTGTTTCCCAGTGGGTTCAGGCCATTCCAGCCCTATAGAACCCCTGCCCTGAGTATAGCTGGCCATGGTGTCACGCCTGCCTGAACTGCCCTGCAGCAAATACCCATGTCCTCAGTGAGCTGTTGGTACCCAAACAGCAAACCCCCGGCTGCAGCAGGCCAGGGTTTGTCTCTGCAGTCAGTTTCTCTGCTTCCCTGAGTTATTCCATGAGGCGCCTGTCTAATCCCCAGAGACAAGACTCCTTTTGGGGTGGGGAAGATGACTGCAGGGAGTCCCCATGTCCGCCTGCTCATTTTCCTCCCTATGAACCCTCCTCAGTGCATCCCCACAAGCAGAAGACCTGCCAGGCAGGGATCGGGCAGTGGGAACCAGCTGGGTTCAGGGCTGAGGTCTCCCAGTTCCCCCTCTCTGCTTCCCCCCAGCCTTTGCTGCAGCCTCTCTGGAGACAAGGTGATTGTTTCCCCTGCTGATTCAGCTCCTGTCTGCCTCTCACGGCTCAGCCTTGCCAGGTGACTCAGAGAGTGTCTGGGGAGAATCAGCCTGAGCTGGTCCAGAGCCTCCAAACCCAGCAGAGACAGGAAAAGCATGGAAGAGGGAGCCTTGCTGCGACTTGGAGCTGCAGCCAGTGCCTTGGGTCTTTGGGTGCACAAGGGATTTTAGGAGCTGAGAGAGGCACAACTGCTGCCAACAGGGACTTGCACTGGGCTGCATCCCGCTGCCTCAAAATAGAGCTAACATCGATCTCTTTGAACCTCAATGCAAAATCCCCTCTTCTCATCAACCCCAGTGTGTGCCTCAGAGCCAGCTGCAAACAGCTCCACTCAGCAGTCTGGGGGCATTTTATGTAAGAGCAGTTCCATTGGAGCCAGGGAGAGCAGAGAAGTTTGGGCTGGAGTCAGGAGGTGCCTGAGTGCCTGCCACAGGGCTGGGGACGAGTGGCAGTGTGGGGATCCAGTGCTTTGGGGGTTCATCTTAAAGGGTATCAGTGAATTCCTCATCCCAGAGGCAGGGGAGAACCCAGCTTGGAGGTGAGCTGGACATGGGGAGCCCTGTGCACTGCAGTGTGGCTGCTGCTGGTGCCCTGCCCCGTCGCTGCCTCCAGTCTCTCCCACCACCCTGAGCTATTAAACTAAGGGGAAAACCTAACAGCACTGTGCTGTCTCCCATCTCCTTCAGCCCAGCACTGCTCAGCCTGACATATCCTGCATCCCTACCCTGGTCTAAGGACAGATCCAGCAATGATCCCAAGAAGCACAATGATCCCAGGTGCTGCTGGACCAAACCTCCGGCATTGGGGATACACATGGAAACTCCTCCAAGTATCCTTCCCTCTATCCAACTCCAACCAGTGCAACTGGCCAGTTACCAGTGAGATGGGGCAGATACTGCCTTGTCTGCAGCCCCTTTTCCTTACCATGTCCCAGGGCTCAGCTGTTGCCTTGCTGTGCTTCTCTCTGCCTGGCTCCCAGCTTGGCTTTCGCTAAGTATTGGGGTCATGCACAACGTATTAACATGCTTAGCTTTCACCCACCACATGGTTAAGCTGTATTTCCAGCCCCATTCAAGTGGGAGCAACCAAAACCAGGCTCACAAAGGAAGAGATGGAACTTTGCAAAAAGAAAAACACCTTTATTTTTAAACTCTTTCTTTAAAAATGTATTTGTAAAAGTTTACAGCATAAAAATAGTATCTCATGGCTATAGATGTGACGTAGTACAAATCCTACAAATATATCTGTAAACCTAGGAAAATGTTAACTCTTTGGTACCTTCGTCTGAACTCTGTTTTTGTCTTTGTCCTAGGGATGGTTTCTGGCAGACAGCATGGAGGCAAGTGCTGCATCTGCCCAGAGATGCTGCAGAGTAACAGTGTGATGCCAACAAGCCTGCACAGCAGGAGGGAGAGAGGGCACGATCTGGGCAAGCTTTGCGGGTCTGGTGCCATCCACGAAGGAGGAAAGGACAGGGATGATGGGACACTGCAGCCTCCCGGCGGGAGTTGTCCTCCCTGCCTCCTCCCACCCCTGCAAGGGTCATCTCTCCAAAGTGCCAATGGAGCAGTTCCCCTGCCCTTGCCGAAGCCAACCGGATCCTTCTTGGCATGTCCCAGGGCAACCTTCATGTTCCCAAGTGGGAGCACAGTCAGGCTGTGCCTGCACTCCCCAGGGCTGGCTTGGCAGCCAAGGTCTCTCCCTTGGTCTGTGCAGGAGATCCTGCAGTTTGCCTTGTGAACTCACACTGATCCTGCGACCTGAGCTAAGCACCGAGCCCAACCGGAGCCTTTCCTCATGCCTGTGCATTGGATTTGCTTCCAAAACCTGGATTGGGTTTGCCTCCTTAGCACATCATCTCATTTTAGAAAAAGCCCCCATAAGGAGATATCTCTGAAATCCCCTTTTCCAGATCTGCCCATCTTCACACAGTCAGAACCCTCAGTACCCTGTATGTGTGGTGTCGCCTCTCCCCCAGCCCGGAGCCCTGACTGGGAAGAAGGGGAAGAACTGTTTCTCACTTCTGGCTGACTTCCTCCTGGCTGCACATCTGCATTGCCCTTCTGCCGCCGGTCCCCGTGGGACTCCACCACAGTGCCCTTGGCAGGTGAACAGAGACAATTCAGTTACGAGTAAAGTCCGCTGTGCTCTACATTTCTTAACATGACACAAACAAACACTAAACGTGACACTCTCGCTTAAAAACATAATAACACGCTCAAACTGAGAGGGACAAAAGGATTAAAACCTGTGCACACAGTCTGAGAAGCA